GTTGACACCATGCATCTGTGTGTGTGTGTGTGTGTGTTGCAGGCCGTGGAACAGCGCATGATTCACCATGTCGTTCCAGCGGCAATCTTCGGAACCTACTCGTTCGCGTGGAGGGGGAAGAGTGGAACATGTGGTCCCACATGGCTTGTGCGTAGCGAGGGCATCGCTACTAGGAACAAGTGCATCGCTACTAGGAGCAAGGGCCTTACTAGTAGTAACAAGAAGCTCCTAGTAGCTTCTTGCTCCTAGTAGCGATGCCCTTTGCTCCTAGTAGCGTCCTTGCTCCTAGTAGTAAGGCCAGGAGCCCCTAGTAGCTTCCTTGCTGCTAGTAGCGATGCACCTTGTTACTAGTAGTTTCTTGTTACTAGTAGTAATGCCCTTGTTACTAAGAGTGCAAATCATTACGACTTCCTTCAGGCACGAATGGTGAGACCTTCAACTATCAGGCCTTGCTCAGAGGGCTCGCTGACTGAATTTCGCTACAAGTTTCCTGGGATGTGTTTCCCATCACGAGTTCCCAAAACGTCAAACAAAATTAATCTTAGATCTTTCACTACGTGTCTCAATGGCACTAGTGGCTTTATAAGCAATTGTAATGCATTGGTGCAAGATCAAAACAATCACATATATAATATAGATTATGTTTTTCCAATTTACGTTCAGGATCATTCAGGTGGACATGGCGTAGAGCCTCATTCACTCGACGGGGGTTCCACTCGGTCTCTCCATTTCTACTACCAATTCGTCGCAACTTTTGACATCTTTCTCTGGAACCCTTCCAGTCGTACAAGGCCTACTCGGCCGATGGTGACCATGTGTTGCCATGGTGACACCATGTGCTACTCAACTCTTCCGCCGGAGAAGGTCGCGAGTGACTGGCCTGCCGCCCCTCCCAAGATCCGATAGGCCAGGCGATACCTGAGAGCGTTTTTGCCGGTGGACTGAAGCGGCCTTCTTTCTTGATCGAGCAACGGGAAGGCTTCGCAATCCAACGGAAGGAGTGATGTGGAGTGAAAAGATCCATCGACATCCATCGACCGCTTTCATTACAAAGGAAAACTCCTCATTGTTCTCAACTACAGAATTGATCCACAACATGTGCGATTCTCTTTCGAGTGATCTCGCGGTCGAACGTTGGACGGTCTGAATGCTCAAGGCTTCCGTTTAAAAAGCCAAGGCCTATAGGCGCTTTATGAGCCTGCCACTAAAGCGTGGTTGACACATGTTGACACAGAGTGGTCAAACTATCCTTGTGCCATCTCAAATTGAACCTGGCCTTTTCGTCCATGCTCTTTGATGGTCTATTCCAGGAGACGAGCAACATCGGTGCGAAGCTGTGCTTGCCCAGCGACCCTCTCAATGCAGTTAGAGAGCCATGCAGCTTTTCAATGCCTCGGGGCGAGAATTCACCAGCTGGACATTCACATCGTGGATGCCCCCCACAGTGTACACCTTCATGTCATGGTGAGCCGATAAAATGTTGTCCAGCCAAGCTCTGTGTGTGCGTGTGCCCACCTGTTGCCGCATTACAGAACAGAACAGTCGTATCCCATGCCAACCAACAATGCCTACTGCAATGGTGTTCCATGCTAGTCTTGCGGTCGATGTTTTGACAAGCACCGGACAAGTTACCAAACTCTGTCCTTTAAGGATTTTCTCAACGAAAGGGATTGACGAAGATGTTTGAAGATCCTCCCCTCCTTACTTTAAGCGTCAGAGCGTTTGGAAAGGTGCCACCTAGGCTTAGGCGTTGACCTCCATGGCCTTGGACTTCGCCACCTGTTACCTCATTCCAAAAACTGCATGCAAAACTATGAGGCTGAAGAAAACAGTCGCACATGGTCTTTGCTTCAAGAAAGCCTGGGTTGATCCAAACCCAACGGGTGCCGAAGCGAAAACACCGCCTGGGAGTTGCCCATTCTCTAAAAGCATTTCCACCTGAGTCCATGTTCCACTTCTCCACAACAAAAAGGCACCGCCGCGCTGCTGGGCAGGGACTGCAGGAGGAGCGCGACGACGCCAAAGGCACAGTCTTCTTCGGCTGCCTGGGATCGTCGCTCCCGAGCTCGGTGCATCAAACCTGCTGGGTGGATCAAACGGAACGCCCCAACTCCGGAAGGCACCAGATCCTTGGGGTGGAACAAGGCCCCCGGTCCAGTGCGTCATGCGTTTGGAGTGGGGAAGATCCGTCAAAAGCGGAGACTTGAAAGAACATGGCCCACAATTGATGTGGAGGCTGCTTGCTTGGGTGTTTAACGTTTAGATCGAACAACTCGCAATCATGCGCAATCTATTATTAATGTGATCAGCACTGGGAGAACTGTTAGTCTTTGTGCTTTGTGCTCAGCTCTGCAGCCCAGGTGATGCGGACTCTAATGTCTTAAGCTGTCCACTCTTGTGTCCGGCCCCGAGCGTATCGTGATTAGCGAATCAAATTCCCAGAGCAATCCATTCCATATAAAAAGTTCTCAAGCACCTCAAAATCACTAACGCTGACATAAGCTAACCACCCAGCTGGGTCCCAACTGAATCTCAGCCCAAGGCCAGGCCTCCAAGGAAGCTGAGCTCACATTCACCTGGCGTGCTCGAACATCGCTTCGCACAGTCAAACTCACTTCACATCGCTTCATTTGCAACTGACGTGAAGAAGCAAATTGTCATCCCAACCGTCAAATCCAACATGTTCCGAGAACAGCTCCTCTCATACTGATTAGTGAAGAGTTTTATTGGTCATACGGTGTTGACCACAGGCATCCAACTCATCGCACCCACAAACCGTCCGCGGCTGGCCTTTTGCCAAAGAGCCATCAAGTCGGGCCAACCCTTGTAGGACGTCCCCAGGGCCTGCGACAACCTCAGGGCAAACGTACGCCAACAAGGGGGGCGAAACCTCTTCCAACACGGAAGCGGATCATGCCACGATCGTTCAAGTATGCTTCCTCGTTTTGCTGTAATACTACCCCCTACATGAACTTGGTCAAGGACGCCTTGCTGCTTTAGATACGTTCGGTGAACATCCAAGCACGCATCAAAGGACTTGGATATACTATGTTTTTAAATGGAACCTCCCGGATCGGTTATTGCCGTGTGTGATAGACCTGGGATTGAGTGGCTGATGCGCCAGGAAGAAGTGGTCCCAGTCATCCTTTGTGACTCCAAAGGTCCCACGGCATTGGGCTTTCCGCGGCGAGGAGGCGACATCCTGAGGAGCCGAAGCACGGCGCAGAGTTTGCGAGTTTGGACCTCAAACTACCACGACTGGGAGCAATCTCCAATCAAAGTGGAAGGTGCCATGTCCACTTCCATGGTTGATATACAAAAGTGTATATATGTCCATATACTGTATATATATATATATATGTATAGGGTAACTAGCTTAGAGAGGGCCATGTCTTTGAAAGGCACTCCTTCTGGGTTGCTAGATGCAAATTGCAGCAATGGATGTGAGTGGTATTTCTCCCATCCCTGGTGCCTGGGATGTTTGGAGCACCGGGTCAAGCACGTACGGGGTCCCGTCCCAAAAGAGTCTGATCGGAACCAGCTCGCCTCGTTGGTGCGGCAATCTTGTGGCAGTGCATTCACATTCTTGGTATCCAAGCAGCACACCTGCGAAGAAAAGACAAAGTTGGTGCAGGTAAGAGCGAGGTCTCTCTCTCTCTCTCTTGCTTGAAGACGGGGCCAAAGCACACGGAGACACACACACAAGGAAAAGACAAGCATTGGCCACGCACACACAAGCAAAAGAAGCGAAAGAAGGACGGTTTCTCCGGACGTGTCTTCCTTCTCTCTGGACCTCATAGGTGTAGATGGAATCAAAGCACTCCGGGTTGCCACCTGGGCATGAGCATCACGGCGCGTCGGTTTGCATCTGTCACTTGAGGACGGGTCTTTCTAAGGCATTGTGGTGGGGGAATGCAAGTTTGTAAGGCTATGTCCCAACAGCTTCCATGGACGGATCTACAGGACAACGCGCTTCCATGTCGATGACAAAGATCTGGAATGGAGGGAGACTGGGCGGAACCTGCAATTCGCCCACATGTCACAACCAATACCCAAACAGCTGCCTAGCAGATCCGAACAGCTCCCTTCATGTCACCCTTCACGATCTCACAGCACCCGCCCCACCGGCAGCGCAACAGGTCGTGAAGGAGAAGCCGCCGCGCCAGCAGGCAGCGTTGCCCGCCATGCCATGGCTTCAGTCGGTCAGGGTGACTGGGCGGAAGAAGAACATATGGACTGGAATCCTGGAAGAAGGAGAATTGATATAATGTGTATATATATATATATAACTATATACATGTATATGTTCGTGCGAGAGAAGGTGAACACTTCATCATGTCTAAAGCAAATTGTACAAAGACACACAGTGCAACCAAGCGACATCTTCAAAAAGCAATACTCAGGCATGCAGCATGCATGTAGAATTCGCGCAGTAACCGCCTGTATACTCCTACACATGGTGTTGGAACGCGAAGGGATTCCTTCAGGTAGCTTAAGGCACGGGAACTCCGGTTGGTTCACGTTCCTTCCAAAAGGATCGAGAAGACGCCCGGACCAGCGGACAAATCCGTCACTGGCGGCCTCAGCTCCAAAATCCGTCACTGGAAGTCCACGCTGTCAATTTGGCTTGGAAGCTAACAGCGTGGTGAATACACCAATGAACCACCATGAGTCACTGTCAAAACTTAAGAACAAATTCCCTGAAAGGACATTGGGTTTGGGTGAATAGACTAGATTAGACCCCTCAGTCCATCCTCAACACTCAACTCCACACTATCAGATTGCCTCAAGTGGAGTTTGGGATGCTCCCCATAAAACGCAAGTCCCAATTTCATTCCTCACGAGACAATGGCTCCTTGGCGAGTCTTGTGTTAGGATGATAAGGTGAATGCCTCTAGCCACTTCTAGACCTGGGGGAGGCTGAGCCCGGCATCGAAGCTCATCGTCCTGGGCAGTCTGAACTGGTCAACACCACATCTGAGCTCGGGTGGCCCACGGTCCTTGACTTTGCAGTCGATGTCATCCTCGTCCTGCGCCGCGAACGATCCTCAACGTGCGCCTGTTGCTTGGATTTAGTGGCCTACCCTTTGTGTATGAATATAGTTTATAAGGGGTTTAGCTCAGCTCAGCTGAGAAAAGGCTGTTGTCCGTGGCAAAGACCCTACCCTGCGTTCCACCGAACCACACCGGCTGAGCTGGGAAGACGGTACCGGAGGTCTGTGAGAGCACAATGCATGAACTGAACACCAATGGTGACCTCAAAACAGTTATAACCCTATCTCCCCCAAAAGTGGTTCTAGGCATGTATCCCAAAGGAAGGTACGTATTCAGGAAATTTATAACATATTATATAATATATATATAGGTATATTGTGTATATATATGTATATCGTTTTGAAAGATCTAGTCATTCACCGAGACATCTCTAAGACTCGGTTGAGTTGTTTGCTTCACACGTTTTAGGGCAAACAGGAGGACATGTCTGCTCAGAGCATCCAATGCAGTTTGAGATACATCTGCTCAGGCTGTGGACAGGTCGAAGCCAGTACATGATGTGTACATCTTCGTCATGAGAGAATCTACGCACCGCCTTTTCCATCCCCCAAGTCTGCCTGTGTTTGTGGAGCAAAAGCTGGTGTGACTCAGAGATGGGAATCGTAGCAATCTCTGAATAGGGAGAATCACCATCTCCCCTTTTGATCTGGAATCTGGAATAGATTTTAGATGATTTTAGGGTTGCAGCACTCTCTCTATTCTCAATGAGATTGCCGCCCAATGGGTTGGTGATCGTTCACCATCTGAAAAGGTTCCCGCATGTGGGTCCTCTGTCCGGGTGGGGTGCGCGGTTACACCTTGACCCACAAGAAAACATAGGGCCGATTTCAGTTGATGACGATTCATGTGTGATGTCCGAAAGACATGGGAATAAATGGCCTTGGGTGCCTGATTTCACAATACGCACTGCGCATGGCTCCTGAGCTGTAGGCTGTTTGGGCTTCGACCGTTCGTCAGCCAGGCCTTTCCTTAAGCCATGGAGAGCCATGGTTTCAGAAGCTTCTACAGCGACTGGTTGGGAACATGCTTGCATTAAGGATTGCCTCACTGTTTTTTATGTTCTGTACTGGCTAAATCTGTAAAAAAAAACTATGTGTATGATTGTGTATGTATCTTATTTGTAATTATGCATTTGTCATGTTATTAATTTCACCTAAATTCAACGAAATTCTGTAGCGATGACTATGACATTTATGATCTCAACAACAGGCAACCCTCGAGTGTTGTTCGGGGCATGTTTGTGATGTTTTTTCCCATAATTACCCCCTTTGCTGCCCTTTTGCTACTATAGCCACTGTTCACAGCGGGTTAGACAACTAAGTTGGGTGTTCCAGGTGAACTGTCTTGATGAAGGGAAGGGACACCCCCCCTGGCTGTAAAGCTTTGTGAACCGTCACATCCTCCAGCCAACTTAATTAAAGCCCCGGGAGCAGGGTGTCCTTGACGGATCAAGAAGCTGGGGTGTCTTGTGAAACCGAATGGGCCTCTTGATGACTCTTGTACACCATAATGATAATGATCATTATACCTATTGCGTGTACATTCCTGTACCAAAGGTTGCGTGTTGCTTGAAACCCGAAAAGTGCCGGGTCCACGCGACAGCACATGGGATTGGAGAACCTGAGTTTTGCCTTCCCGGCAGTGCGGGGGCCGCAGTCCTTGCATCCAGAAAAGGGACTGGATCGGAACGTGCAATGCGCCAACAAGACAAGGTGTGCCCTGAGAAAGGCTCTTGTGGTCTAGGGCGCCAAGTAGCCAGGTCGTTCAAATCCAGCATGCATAGCGGCTCAAGGCAACCCGAGCATCTTCAAAAGACTCCAGCTCAGTAGCATCACACCCCATAGTGTCCACATCTATGAATTCAGGTGAGTTCACATCCCACGACAGGTGTTTCATCGCTGCAACCGCTGACCATTGTTTGGTGGTCAGGTGCTTCCCATGCCTCAGGACTGCCGGTGTTCTATCAGGATGCCCAAGTGAAAGCCAATCTAGTAGCACTACCTGCAAAGAGATAGCAAGCGCTTCTGTAGCAGACCTCAACGACTTAGAGTATGGAATCGGCATGACGGCCACACGTACTGAAGATATCTGTGGTGGAGGCTGTCTCACCCGTCTCAGACTCCTTTATTCTGGAGCTGCCAGATCGCTCGAAAAACTGTTCCTTGGCTGCGACTTTGCTACCAGCCAGGACTTTGGATGCGGCGTCCATGAACAATGACAACACTTCGTCCATGTTGCTGACCACACGATCTGCCCCGCAAATGCAAAGTCTCTGTTTGACGAGAAGGAACTGTCACCTTCTCTCTGACAAAATCCAAGAGGGCTCCACTTGGCCCAAAACGAAGCTGCAGGTGGTTGATGATGGTTAGTTGCCTGGCTGCTTGCTTGGTTCGCTTGGTGATTCCCTTGCTCTGGGTCGCGTTGGATGACTCCTCCATTTTACTAAAGGATTCATAACCCAATAGCGATGGCCTCCACCCTCCACCCTACTAGCGATGGCCTCCAACCTTATCGTGCAAAGGGTTCATACCAATTCCCCACACCCTCTCGGCCGAGGCACTTCAGCGCCTTCTGGGCCCAGCCGCGGTCCTGCTGATCCAGCGCCTGCCGTCGGACAGTTTGGTCGGCCGGGCCGGGATTCATTGTGTTGAAAGCCTACAAACAGCATACAAATGCCACATTCGAACAGGTGGGAACTCTTTGGGGAAGTGTTGACAGAGTTCAGAGGGTCAGTCCAAACCTTATCTGGCGGGGCTGTCAGTAAAAAATCAAAACTAAAAGAACTTGCTTGGGATCAGCATGATTGGAATGAGGCTCAAAAATTAACACCTGGCGGGTCCCGCAGGTGTTGTTCCATGTCTCTTCTAGGCGCATCTACTCCAATCATCTCTCTCTCTCTCTCTCTCACGTCTAAACCCAGCAATGGAGTGGCCCTCGCTTCCCAGACCAACCCAAATCTGGGTCATGTGGTTCTGGGTAGTGGCACCTTCCATGCCTTGATAACAATTTTGGCTGAAAAGGAGTGATGGCATGAATGCTCCAAACCGAGGGGTCATCAATTGAGAGGCATTCCTTGCAAAGTGACACTTTTTACGGTAATATGTTTCCTATTGGTGGTGTTATTGTAGTGGTGGTGGTGGTGGTAGTAGTAGTAGTCGTAGTGGTAGTGGTAGTGGTAGTAGTAGTAGTGGTAGTAGTAGTAGTAGTGGTAGTAGTAGTTGTTGTTGCTGTTGCTGTTGTCGTGGCAGTCGTGGTGTCAGGTTTTCCGCGACACCGCCGCACCAATCGGCCTTCTGTTGCCGTTTCAGCTTCACGAGTTCTTTCCTCAACAGCGTCATCAGCGGTATGTCGCACTACGGGCACTCCGGAACTGCAGCGAATATGAAACAGACATAGAAAAGATCATGCACCACTTGGTACCCACAGCACAGAGTTGTAAGTGAATATAGTGGTTCTCCCAATCCCAGGTGGTGCAGGATGTCTTCCTTTAATAGTACAGCCGTATCGTAAGTGAGAGCACAGTGCGCGGTGCAGGAGAACTTGACAACTGGACTCCAGCACCACATTAGATACTATGCAACATCCAACCACCCTTGAAACTTTGTGCACCGCAGCAAGAGTCTTACACTCGCTCGAACTAGCCATAGCAAATCATGCCCTTGACCGGTTGTTGCTTGTCGATCTGGTTTGCCTGCACTGCAACTGTTCTATGTCTTTTGTGCAGCTTCATTCAGGGCATGTGGCATTCTCAAGCCACAACACTAGACTCTTTACAAGCTCACTTTGGTTGACAGGTCCCTGGAACATCCTCCTGAAAACTAGTCATGGAACCGGAACCCCCAATCCACTGGTTGGCCCAAATCGCGCGCTTACTAAGTGCTTGCCATGCTTTTCCATTGAGTAACGCACCTCAACAGAACAAGATCTTGAAGATTGCAAATGGTTTTACATTAGAACCGTCTTGGAATCCCCTGGCATCTATCCCTCAAGCTCCATGTAAACAAACATGGTCTACATCAGATTTGGGTGGTTGGGGTGGTGGTTGATCAGATCCTTTGAGTGGTGAATCTATGTGAATCTGCTGCATTTCATTGATGAAAACAACTGGTAAAAGTCGGTGGAAGCCACAGAACGTACCATCTCTTGGGCCAAGGAGCTCCACATCATCAGCAATGGAGGCATCCAGGTCCCGCGCTTTCTGCAAGTCCTGGGAGGGCGACGTTCGGGGTTGCCCTCCAAAATGAGAAAACGGACTCCCCCTTATAAAGGTATTGGAAATCAGTTCTACATACCTACTTCTACGTTCTTTGGAAACTTTTAATCTTCCTTCCCTAGGTTTTTCCAAGTTGGCAATTGCCCCTTTAAGGCTTCACGCTTTCTTTATTAATTCTGATATGTTGCACTTGCGCCTTCGAGGCCAAGTCTTCCCGACTACGGATTTTGAACCTGCACCATCAGGGATTGCAGGGTTCCGGGAAAATCCTGGTATAGCTGCGCACCCCTGTAACTTTGAAGATTGAACAAACGCTTTGTGCCTTGCTGATCTCCATACCCGTTGAGCGGCTCACCGCCGGCCGGGCAAGGGAAGAGCGTGACTCTGCTTGACCTTTCCAGACAGAAAAAAGAATAAAAGCTCATCACGTATCACTGATCCAAGAACATCTAAAAACTACACTGCACCAAACTTAAGTTTTGTCACTGACATACTTTCATTCAGTCTCTCTCTCAGCACAATTTAAAAAACATGCTATGTCGCCAGTGTGACCTCCCAGTATTGGGGCTGACGAGTTTCTTCATCGAAAACCCATCTGACTCGGTCCGACCCAAGAGTTTCAGTCGAAAACCCGTGATCCGACGGAACAACCTGAGAAGGTACTTGGACACACCAATCACCTAGGCCCGTCATGTCATCCCTAAATATTTCAAGAAATTACCTTAGAAGGTGGCAGTCAATTTCCCTCATCGCGATCTACAACTGGGACTGCGGAGAACGTCCTTCTTGGCATCCTCCAAGCTGCCCAACTGAATTTGGCACCTGATGGAATTTAGGCAAGCCATAAAGGTGTCTGGAATTTGTTCAGGTGAATTGCAAAGGTCCAGCAAAAGGTGAATAGATAGATGCATGATGATCCATGATGAAAGACCCTGCTCAAAATCAATGTCCTGCTTCCAACCCCCAGCTGCTTATATAATAGTGGAGCACACAAGGTAGTTTGTGGGTGATTTAGGTGTGAGGAAGCAACATCTGGAGGCGTGGAAAAAAGAAACATCCCCTCCAAGTCTTGTGACTTGTGTCCACCCATTGTTGCAAACACAAAGCACTAGCAGGATCTAGCAGGTACGTACTGACCGCCATGGTGTAAATGCAGATCCCAGAATACATTGGACCACCAATTTCTTCCGGACTCCCAACAAAATGAGCACGGAGATGATCACTCATCCCTTGACAAACTGGTGAAGTTGTCCTGCAACAGGTTTGTTTCTGAACTGTTTGCCGTTTAGACTAATGATGGTGGGGTGGCGCCAGAGTATTCCATGCATTGCAGGACCACTGTCGAACCCCATGTTCTCGCCGCTGCACGCGTCGAGAAGTAGCCTGCAACATACAGAAGTGCTTCGTTGGCGGCCTGGCCCCTCCTTCCGCACGGGTGTAGATGTACCACTGGCCGCGGTAGTGCCACACCCAGAACCCGCCGTCGTAATAACATCTACCAAACATCAGGGCGAAATGCATCTTGTTGATGGCTCTCGTCGTGTACACGCAGTCAGAGCTGATTGCGCTCACCTTTCATATCCCTTTGCCTTTCACGCCTCCTCCACCGGCGCCTGCGAGAAGCCAAAATGAAGAGCCTTCCAAAGGGACATCCAAAAGAAGAAGAAGCTTCAGAAGCTCCAAGGTCCAAGACTCGTACAGCGATTTCGAGGCTTCAAAACTTCAAAAGTTCACGAAGAAAGACGAGCCAAAGCGTTCATCGATCGTGGCCTGGCCCGACGGGCGATGTCCGAGACATCGCGTCGACGGGCGCCCGTGTGGAACCTCCGCGCCCGCGCCTTCCTTTCTTCTGATAGCGGGTCTCAGACCGAAAGTACTCGGCGTTGAACCAGCAAGTCAAATGCTAAATCAACGCTTGCAGGTGACCTTTCACTTCCCAGTGTTGCCTCATCACAACGAATAAAAACACGACCGGTCTCGCCCTCTTGTCTTGCTTGTCTCACCGCTACTTTGGTGTCCGCGGAACAGTTATAGCTACCGTGCTTGAAAAGCTGTAGCTGCCCTTCATTGCTAAGGTGCTAAGGGTGTTCACTGCTCTTCTATTGTGAGCTTTACGCCCCGGCTCTCTTGTAAGGTCGGCTGGTGTGCCCGTTGAAGGAAGGGCAAAGCCAGATTTCCGTGGACGTATATATTGAAATACGGGCTCCTCTATTGTGATCTTCGCCACCCCTGGATTAAAGCTCGTGAGTCCTTAGTGGAAGGCGTTTATAATTGAATGACAACATGGATGAGAATGAGAACCTTCACCTTTTAACCGATCTCCAGCTCCATACTGTATGTTTCTGGTTTAAGTGCAGTGTACAAACCAACAAACTGACTAAGGAGAAACCTACAAGCCATGCTGCCCCTGCGCTCTTCCGGTCCGTTCACCCTTCGAGCGCCCACGCTGGCCCCGGCGGAAGAGCGCCTTCACCTGGGACCGGGTCCGGCGCTGAGCAAAACCTCCAAAAATATGTTACTAGTAGTAAGGCCAGGAGCCCCTAGTAGCGTCCTTGCTTCTAAAGGACGCCCTTGTTACTAGTAGCTTCTTGCTACTAGTAGCGATGCACTTGTTCCTAGTAGCGATGCCCTTGTTGCTAGTAGCTTCTATTCTAAGGTTTTATGGTCTTAATTTTTTGTTTCATGTTAACTTCAGTTTATGTCTATCGAATCTTCTATAGCTGGATTGAAGCACTGCCTCCGAAATACAAAACCTGCCAAAGGTCGTAAAGGACTAGCAACTATAGTTCAGAAACCCCACTACTGAATGAGATGGCAGGAAACGGAGGACTTCCAAAAGCTCAAAAGATCTGTCGGCGCCAAAGTGCTTGCTCAAAGGTGAAAAATCAATAGTTTAGACCCAAAAATTGTTGCACCCCCTTTCTGGAAGGCAAGTGCTTTAGGGTTCATTCTTGCGGGCAGAAAAATGACACTCTCTCTCTCTCCTCTGATCTCTCTCTCCTCTGAAAAAAATGCTCTTTGTAGCTCAAAAACCCATCCGTAATATTCCGTAATTCTCCGTACCCTCTAGCCAGCGGTTGCACAACGTCCACAAAAGTGTACGGTTGGCTGTGGGTAGTTGCTGGGGTGTCAGTTCCAATGGATCCCACCAAAAAACATCCCACCTCGTGATGATCTCGACTTCCGTGACTCTCCGTGGCAGTGAAAACGCCAAAACATCCAAGGACCTTCCAAACATCTTTCTCCACCTCAGGTAGACCGGTAGACCCCACTAAGCAAAAAAACTATTCTTCCAAGATTCCAAAGATCGTCATAGAAAAAAAATAACAAAGAACTGCTGCAGCACCTCCGCAGCATATGTAAGTCTTTGTCGACGTCCAAGGTACGCAAGAGCTGTCGATGTCCAAGATCACCTCCGCACACTTGCGTTCCGCTTCGGACCAGCGCTTCCTGCGGTGTGTTTGCAGGTCGATGCCCGTGTTGGGACATCGAATTTCTGTGTTGGCGTTGGAGCACAGAATCATGGGATATCATCGGATACTTTGGAGACTCCTAGGCAAAAAGTTGGCCAGCAGCTCACGTCTCAGTCATCTTTCTCTCCGGGCGCAAAATGCACTGGATGTCAACAAATATTAGAGACCATCAAATTGTATCAGATACTGTATGTCAACTTAAAAGGTATTATATATACTAGTCTATGTGGTTTCATTATTGAAGGGAAATGGTTGTTTTGACAGTGATCTTGTTGGGGTGTGTGTTTTCTCTCGCTTTCTCTTTTTGGTCATGCTGGGATGCTTTGCTCATGCTTTCGTCTCGCAGAACCACTGGCAGTATCGTGTCCTCAGTCCTGCGCATGAGCACCAGCGCCCAGTTCAAAAGGATTGGCTTTTGACCTTGCGCGTGGTGTTTGTTTGCCCAGGTGACCAGCACACCCGTGGTGTCGCGTGGTGTGGCTTGTTGTCGTCGGTTTCATGTCGCGTCACAGTGCCAAAGGAATCGCGTCCACTGCGGGACTCAAACCGGACATGACACCCCTCACCCCTCCGTTCGATTCAACGTCTCCAATAGAGTGCATGTGTTTGTATGTAGTTGTGGACGTGCTTTAGCTCCGCTCCTAAGACCCTGTTCTGCGGAGGCGGTGTTTCTTCGCAGGGTGGTGGGCTGTAATTACAAAGAAATGACAGGGGATCACATGTAGGGATAGGCATGTCAATTGTAATTATTGCCCAGAAAAACTCCCGCAGTTTGAAAGTGATGTTCCGAAGGAATGCCAATCAATGACTGCTTTCGGTGATCTCTCCAAATGGCAGGCCAGTAGGAAGCTGCATACAACTATGATAACAAGTCAGTTCTGGTTGAAACATTTGACAGTCTTATACCGAGTTGCAGTCAATCGCTTCAAGCATCATTGTGTGATTTCCACTTTGGTATGCTCAGCGGCTTTTGTGACTCTTTCAAGCCTTGGTCTTGCCTGTGTCTGTCATCACTTTTCTAAGCTGGGCTCGGTTTGGACTTGTTCGTACTGACTTCATGTACCCCATGTTCCTCGGAAGTGATTCTCGGAAGAGTCTGCAAAGATGTTGCATGCAAGAGTCTGTCCTTAAGGAGATTTCGCACTGACACTGTGACTCTCTTTTAAACCACCAACCCATGCACGAATCACTCAACAAAACCGGCACTAACGCATACTGAGCACATGCCACGCATGCCACGCATGCCACGCATGCTCTCCTCAAATCATCTGGGGGATCCCAACACTCGCGAATGCGCCGGTTGTTGGCCACCGCCTTGGCATCCTTCTTTCCACCTGGTGGGAACAGCGGTCCAGTCGATCCAAAGATCCGTTCGCCGCTCCAAACCGGTCGCGAATGAGCATCTGAAAGCTGTTCCTATTCCCGGACGATATATAAAGACTAAGATCCACTTGAAACTGTGCAAGTCGGAAACAAAGTGTCTTCCAAAGCACAAAGTTTGCTTCTGAGGGCAAACATCAATGGATTAATTCAGTTGCATTGTGTGTAAACACTGGTGTTGACGCAAACACTCCGAAAAGTAACACATCGGCATGGCCGGCATAGCCCTTACAAAGACTCTTTCGCTGCAAGCACAGCAACAAATACAGCAGACAATGTCCTAATATGTCCTACATAGAAAGAAATTAAAACTACAACAAGTGGTCACTCGGAATCTTTCCCCTTCCTCGGAAGACTTTCATATTTCGTTCCCAGAACTTCTGATCCTGAATTCCTTTCTTCCTGCACAACCTGCATTGAACCTTCTGGCTGTCAAGCTGTGGGACTGGGTCGGCTGGGGTCCAAGATTCGTTCAGCACCCATCCGCATCCATCGGGTCCACATGCGCCTGTAAACTGTAATCCTTTCCGAAACTCTTCTTGAGTGGTTTAGGTTCTTGCGGCAAGAACCAAGGAGAAAAATGGATGGTGAGACCAATCTTGGCGCAACAAAAACCGGCATCACCGGCGTTCCGATTCTGGCGCATCCAAGATCGCCTGGCATTCCCATGTCTTCAGCTTCAATGACCTTGGTCCCCCAAAGAAGACGTGTCAGCAGGCAGTTTTCCAACAGAAGTGGACAATGGCCCCTACTTCCCTCCACAGACAGGCAGTGTTCCATTTCTGTGCTTGGAGGTAAGGGTAGTTCTCATCATCTATGCATCCGAAACTAGGGTCCAGAAACTTCTTGGTTTTTTGGAAACTCGTACGTTGGGTTCGGAAACTAATTAGCAACGTGCTCTTCATGCCATTGTTAAGTTCACATGACTGTCACGTCAATACCCCCCACCATCCCCCACCGCCTCCCCACCCACCCCACAAAACAATAGTGTCTGCACTCCACAAAAATAGTTTCTGAACCCAGGCAACCATAATTTTTGAACCCAAGAAGATTCTGAACCCTAGTTTCGGAACCATAGTTTCTGAGCCCGATAATTAGTTTCTGAACTGTTTTTCTCTAGTTCATGGAAGTGTTCAAAACAACGGACAGCATAGATGTTCTTGGCCCAACCTACATAGTATGATCCACAGTTGGCATACAATTGTCCTGCTACAATTGTATGCCAAGATCAGGGCAACATGGGAACCCATATCAAACATGGTTCAAATTAGACATGTAAAAAATCAATGTCCCGTTTGCACTTGCCTAGGGTATTGAACACGTGATGCCTAGGCATGTGATTGAACACCGTAGCATTTGCGGCTGCAAAGCCCTGAAGAGTCCCAAGGGGGACGAAAATTAGGCATTTAGTGCTTGTTACTAGTAGTTTCTTGTTCCTAGTTGTAAGGCTTAGTAAGGCACCTTGTTACTAGTAGCGTCCTTGCAAATTACTAGTAGTAAAGTAAGGCACCTTGTTACTAGTAGCGTCCTTGTTCCTAGTAGCAAAGCACCTTGTTACCAGTAGCGTTGTTGTTCCTAGTAGCAAGGCACCGTGTTACTAGTAGAAAGCTGTTATGGGGGAGAAAGCGACCTATCTCGACGTTAGTAGTTCTTGGTCATGGTTCATGGCTTTCTTAACATCTCACTGCCTGAGGTTGGGAAAACGAACATTGAAACTGTACATCATATGCTTATCTTCTAGATATTGACACAAAACCATACAAACCTGCAAATGCCTGGATGTTCCTTGTGTCAGGCAATCATTTGCCCTTTGTTTGTCAACATATCATGTCTCACCTCTGCCACCAAAACTTGCTACGAGCATGGTGGCTAAGTCACATCAATCGGATTATGTCACATCATCCCAATGGTACGGCCTGAAACGTCGGAAGTCACATCAGGGGCCCGAAACTCACATCAGAAAATGTACTTCTGCATGGCACAGCCGCAAACAGCTACTATGAGGAGTTTTGTATGAACAACAGCAAACATTGCGCACAATAGTACATTCTGACACATTCTGACTTGTTCGAATGAAAATCACATTGGCACGGCCAGTATTGGACCTTTCTACATCCTGTTTGGAAAAACATACCCCTAGTAACACAAGCACAAGAAGATGCTCATGACTTTTCCTATGTTAGGATCTAAAACCCAATGGCACACGGCCAGCAGACAACAACTTATCTTACTATGTCAACAGTCAAACCTGGTGGCAGACCCTGAAGCTGCCCCACCATTTCCTGTTCTCCTATGCCTTCTGCGCATCCAAGCGCATGCTTTTCTTCTCTCTGTTTCCGGCTCACTTCTGCGCAGGCTTCGCCATAAACTGGGATATTCTCTGTTTCCCCCAACAGGTCAACCAGTCTAGGCGCTTCTTGCGGCTGCTAGTGATATCATCGAAATGTTGAGCCAAGGTTGCCTTCGGCACACGTTTCTTGAGGGATTCAATGTAAAAAGCTGCTATCTTACTGAACTGGGGAATGGTGATTCCACACTTCACCAGATCACTATGTGGAAATAGTTCCGCCAGAATCTCAACACAATGGCTGGCATTGTTCAGGTCCCACTCATCTTCATCTTCCTCAGCCTCAGGCGCAGGAGCAGCTGCTGGCACCGGACTTGCCGGAGCTGCCACAGAAGCCGAGCTTGATTTTGGCTTCTTGGTCTCTCCTGGCAACACAGCAATGCAAAACAAATTGCCACGTTACCCTGAAAAGGGAATTTGGTCAGATAAGTGAATTTGGGCTACTTTGGAACAGGTGAGTTTTCGCGCAAAACTGTACAGAATTTCGAAAGCCTGCAGCATCTTGCTCAGCTTTGCGCTTCCGTCCACGCATCTCGCCTAGGAGGTCGCCCATGAAGCATAGCGCTCCATCTCGTAAGTCTCAGCAAACTCAGCCAATGCACTCTCAAGGTCAAACAAATCTGTCTGCTTGCTGTACCCCTTGGCTTTGCCACCCTGCTTCACTGCTGCGGCTGCTGTTGAGAAATTCTCGTTCGTCCCCACAGTATCCACACCTTGGTACGTGAGCAGGAGTCTGCTTCTGGCAGCGTGAGCAGGTCACCGATGTTGAAGGAGCCGAGTACGGTATCTTGAGCACGGCTTGACCAGATTTAGACTCCAGCGCGACTTCCTCTTTCTTCACAAAGCACTTGATGAGCTGAGGGGCACGGTCTACCAACAGCTTGTTGCGATTGAGAGCTGATAAATGCTTCATGCCAACTGTCTCGTAGCCTTGAACGATGAAATCTGCCTTGCACGACCATTCCCATACCTGAGCCGTAACAGAGAACAGGGCAAGGATAACGATTTTAGGGACACATTTTCAACTCCCCAATTCTGCCACAACATGTTGAACCAAGGAACTTCTCGGGCAGCGCGCAACGCGCCCAGGCCATTCATGTCGAACCCTGATGCGCGCAGGGCATGAAACTTGGACTCGGCCTCCTTGTTCGGTCTCAGGTCTAAGCTGCACACAGCAGCGGTCATATACTACCTGAAGAAGAAGCACCTGATATTGAACAGGTCTGCGATCAAGGAAGCTTCGGCTGAGATGTGGAGTTGCGCACCTCCGCCGCTGTCCAAGCACAAAAGCACGGGTAAGCTTTTGTCTATCTTCAAGTGCTCCCGGACATGTCGCCCAAACAGTCCCAGCACTTGGGCGAACCAGGGTGTGGTGATGGAGCCGTTCGCTGTGGCTATGATGTTTGCCCCAGGCCATACTTCGTGCCATGCTTTCATGCGACTTGCGCCGTTTGTGGAAACAAATGGCGGAGCAACATCGCCAAGCAAAGATACGAACGGTGCCAAAGTGATGTGGCCAAAAGAAGCTTCCGTGTGGCTCCTCATTGCGCCCACCTGCCGGGCTGTCACAGCACGCTGGTTTTTCACATGAGATCCGCAATCTCCACTCAAACCCTTTTCATCCATAGTCCAAACGCAACGTCCAGCTTCCTCCTTTAAGCACTTAGTTTCGCAATCCATGAGCTTCAGGTCAAGAAGCAGGGCCTCCAAAGCATCGAAGTGGTCGTTGATTGTTTGCAGCGTGATGGACGCCGCTTCCTCATTGCTCTTGTAGTACGTCTTGGCATTGATCAAAGACATGTGTTCACTGTAGCGCTCTTGCACCCATGACCGCCAATCTTTGTACACATTGCCAGGGAAGGCAAATACTTTTGGAAGTCTTTCCATGGGAGGTCTTCATTGGAAAGTCTCTTCATATCTAGGATTCCCTGGTTGTACAAGAACAAGCGGAACATTGCTTGCTTGATTTCCTTTGGGAACAAAGCTTTGTTGGAGGCTGCCATGGCACTTGTGTGGCGCAAAATATCTTTCTTCTGGGGCACTGTCAAGAAGCCTGTCCCATGCCGGCCTGCTGCAAATTGCTTGGGGCACCAAGGGGCGGAGCTACTATCTTGCTCAGCTAGCCAAGTCTTGACTTTGGCCAACTTCAACCTGTTGATGCGGTACTCTTTCAAAGCCTGCTCAGCTTTGATTTAGGAGCCTGAGAACAAACAGTGCTCCAACAAAGCAAGCACATCCAAGTACATCTCGTGGAATTCCTGCGATGACGGAGGAAAAAGGACGAGCTAGGCTGGTCTCCCATCTCCTTCTGCAACCACCTCCATCTTTTGTGGAACTCTTTGAGGGACTGTACAGTCTGGTGTCATACTGCGGCTGTGGACCCGACAGGTCCGGCAATCTCTTGCTCGGCCCCTTGCATTTCTCTCCAGACTTGGGACTAACTGGCGTCTGCTGCTTTGGCTTTGGAGGTGGAGTGGTCAGATCTGCTTCAGGTGAACGCATCAGGATCTTTTTGGAAGAGCCTGGTTCGGGAATGGTCCGATTCTTCTCTGCCATTGGAGTGGCTGGATCTGCTTCAAACGGCTGCTGCTCACTGTTGTTGCTGCAGCTGACATCTGCTCCACCTTCAGGGGAGATGGTGCAGCCTGCATGCACAGGGGGGTTCACCGCCACCCGCAAGGAAGCGCTTTGGTGCGATAAACATAGCTATTCCCGTCGGATCCAACACGGCACTGTCAGAGCTGTCAAACCTGCAATCTGTCAGTGAGCACTGTGCAAAGCCTTGCCTTTTCTCAAGTGCTCACCCCATGTCACTACCGTACCTCAGAACCACCCCGCTGTACAAGGATCTGACGCACATAGTTTCAGCAGCTAGTTGCTGCGCACTGTGGCCTCAGCAGCCATTTTGGCTTTCAAGGCTCGAGCCTTCCTGTTTTCTTTGCGACGAACAGCTGCACTCTGCTTACAAATCCGCCCTGCCCCGTCTCGCCGCCAAGCTACTTCAGATGGCGGACGGGAACAACAACGGCAAACAACATGTGCGGCTTTGAGCCTCACACCGCCAGGATTCCTGTTGTGATCTATTGGCGGGTGAGGTGGTACCTCAGAGGACAAAGGAGGAAGAAACCCAGCGCGAACAGCTGCGCTCTTTGTTCTCACCACGGTCATGCCTGCACTGCGGCATGCCTTGCGCAAGTCTTTCCGGATCTGGTTCCATTTCGCAGCGGCAGTCTTCTGCTTGGACTTGCACCAGACCATGGCCAAACGAACAAGAAGCTACGGAGGCCCCCTACGGCTGAAGCTGGAAAGAAAGGCAACAGAACACAAAGAAACTCAGGCAGATGTAGCTCAAGAAAAATTGGACACAGTTTACATTGGCAAGCGAGTCCTTGATGAGAGTGATCTTCCACTTCCACATGCTTCGGGTCGTTCTCCTGCATTTACATACAGGAAATCTTGACAAACGCCCATTTGAGTTGGAAACTTTGAAAAAATGTGCACCCTACTCAGGAAGCCCTGTCCTTGAGCTTCGTGACAAATTTGCTAAGGCAGCTGTGAAAAAGCCACTTGTTCTTCCAACTTAGTGCACAGGAGAAACATGCAAACGGTGTTGCTGCAACAGCTGTTGCTGTCGAGATTGTCCTTGCCAAAAACCCTAGCTGACACAAATTTCCTGCACTCAAGCGACAATCCTGCAACATGATTACTGGGCCGTGTCCGAAAATCTGCAGTGAAGCCATCTCGCACCTGAAATGTTCCAGTGAAAGAGCAGCCGTTGGCAGTAAATCAACCGCTCACACATCAGGATTCAACATTCAGCAAGGCTGCCCTGCGACAAAGTCACACAGAATACTGTTCAGACGCCCCACTTAGAGCACCAGGTTGGAGTCATTCATTTCAGCACCACCTTGCTCCAACTCAAATGGATGAAGGCCCTAGCACGAAATTGTCTTCCGAAACAAAGTCAACTGCAATTACAACAACATCCAATGGCTTCGCCAGCCAAGACACAGCTGCGTACCAAGCATTCGGTCGGCACTCCAGGACTCCAGGAGGATGCTTCGCCATAAGTGGAAACAAAAACGTCACAAAGGCCTAAAACCGGCAAATATTTGTGTATATACACGAAAGTGAAGCCGAACTTGCAAGGAACACCATTGTGTGCAGTCAACTAATCTAAACAAATCCCTTGAACAATATTGCTGAACATGTTAGCACTGGAACGCAAAATGCACCAGCATCCCTACTATAGAGTAAATGGCAACGGATGCAAGACCGTCAGATTCAATCATAGAAAACTGCAACTTTTACCTAGCGCACACCCAAAAAAAAAAAAACATATAGGTTTTAAAAAGTCCGAATCTTGCAAATCGCAAATCTCAACTCTTGCCTAGCGCAGCCTCCCGATACGACTTTCCAGGGGTTGATACGACTTAAGCCGACCACTAGTACTACAGATCATGTTTGCTTATAATCACTTGCTTACAATTGTGGCTCTGGTTGCTTTATATGTGGATAGGCATCTGTAGCCCAGCACTGCCCCCACTAAAGAGTACCACAATCTACGGAACAACGAAATTGTACCCTAAAAACGTGCCCACATCAGTCCAAACCAAGAGTAGAGAATAAATATCCAAATGAAATCATTTGCCAGTACAAGATGCCCTGAAGGCTGCAAAGCTCGATCCACCATGTTTTCTTTCAAAAGAAGGGAAACTTGTTCGAGCGCTTCTGTCCAAACGGCATCCATGAAGCTGGAGCCACGCTCGTAGTAGTCACCCGCGCGCAAAAGGCGTCCTGCCCGGCAGGGACTCCGTTTGATTGCCGCCGCCACCGCCACCACCCAAACCAAAATGAACAGAGTCCTTGAGGGTTTTTGGTCGGGAGCCTGGAAGGTTTCTTACCCCGAAAGTTTGCTTGTAGATGTCCGACCAAAGTCAACTAAAGACCCTCGGCGCACAATGCGCTCGGACCTGCCTAGAACACCCTGCGGGTCGGGCGACAACTTCACGGGGTCCTGAGGTGGAAGCCAATGGAAAATGGCCAAAACGATTGTATATATATATATATATCTGCATCTAGCCACCACCCATGGATGTTGGTATTGATGATATAAGACTAGCTTAGACTGGTATGGAGCTTTGCGGCAAATACAGATATATAGTACTCCGTTCCATCTGGAATGAGTTCAAATAGGTATATAGACGAAAGTATGACCCACCCCCAGCAAACCACAACAAACCATCATAAGAACACAGCAAACCGCAAAAAAATGTGTCTCCTTGTTTCAGCATTTGGTTGCCACGCTCGCCTCAAGGCATCATCATTCGTTGGCATGAATCCGGTCTTGGTAGCCAATGGAGGGAACAATCCCAGTAGCGAATAATATGTTAGCCAACACAGTGTTTGGCTACCCCACCTTTAACACGATCCTGTATTCATAATGTGAATGGAATATCTCTGCTGTTTACCCAAATGCATCGTTTTCAATGATTGTCGCTCATGAGAATTTGACCGTCCGGAATGGCCATGACTGCTGCTAAACATCTGCCGCACATGTTGTTCATTGTTGTTCGACAATAAGTGTCTCAACCACAACCGCAGGAGCAGCCGAGTTATTGAAAAAGGTGGGAGCAGTCTTCAAGCCTCAGAAAACACAGAAAACAATGCCTCAAAATGAGGGATCTGCCATCCAATCCCTTCTTAATTGAAACAACATGGATCATTTCATGTAATGTCCAGTTTATTTGCAACACTGCGAGTCAGTAGGTTTGTTCACCCATTGTGATCTTGTGGAGAACATGATTCTTGCCATGAAGGCGAGCTGTGACCAAAAATAGAAAACGAAGCCCGCGTCACACTTCCCACATATCATCTGCATCAACTATCTTTATCGTCCCCAGCCGGTGCCTTTCTATGCTGATCAAGCTACGCAGCCGGTCCGCGGCAGCAATGCGTTCGTCCACGCTCAAGCGGAACCTGCTGCGCCCGATCACCCCCGACGAGCTCTCGCACGGAGGTGAAGGCACAAGCAACCTCGATCAACAACTATTCTTTGAACAACTAATTCGTTGTCAACAACATTGACAACACCTTTTTTTTGCACTTCGAACCGCCGTCGGACGAGCCGGTAGCCTACTTGCACCTGATTGCAGGGGTAGTCCGGCCCAAGTTGGCTGGTTTCATGGTTTCCGGCATTGGGATACAGAGCGCTTCCACCAACACATTCGGCTGCTTCAAACATCTCAGCATTAGCTTGTTTGTCCTCAGCCATGCCGGAAACAGGTCACTAATCTCGTCTGGATGCAGGGAAGCACTCATTGTAGCTTGTTGCAGTTTGCCAAGACTTTTTTCAATCCGTTACGCACAAGTCACGCTCGAATATGCTTCATCCCCCAGGCGCACCATTGTTGTTGTCGCTGCTGCTCGTGTGTTTCAAAAGCCGCATTGCAGGAGCCAGTTCAAAACGTTCGGTTTGGGTCGGTGGAACAGGCAAAGCCGATTTGGGGGATTTGGCGAACTCCTGCACACAAGGTCGTAAATGGATTGCGGTGTATTGTATTTGCTGGGATCTGCTTGCATTACCTGTAAGATATTGTCTTGAATCTCTGTGAGGAGACTCTACAAGCATTGTTGCAATTCCTGTTTCATCTTCCGCACTGAGGTCGCTGGAAGGCGGAGGTATTGCCATCTCACTGTTGCCAGCTACAGTTGCTGCTAGTGGGAGTTGATCATCACCCCAGCATCGATATCAGGCGATTCCCAGCACTGCGGGTCCTTCATTTTTTGCGATTTGGACCAACAACTCGCAAAGGGCTGGTGATACACCACATTCACCAAAAAAATGTTGCTAGTGTTGATCCCTGTTGCAAACTGAAAAGAAAAAGACCCTCAAAATGCTTGTTGGTGGCAAGCTGTCCCTAAAGGGCACAAGACATGTTGTTTAGTGTAGAAACTCAGTTCAGTTTAGGTCTCCGGAAATCGTTTGTGTAATTTGCCGTCCACAATCCTTGACAGGTTGACGACCACATTAGTGAGGATTGGCAAAGCCAATTCTTTTATCACTCGTAGTTTCTCAGTTATGCCGATTATGCCAAACCTCCAAAAACTCATCGTGGATGAAAAACAATGAACACCAATTCAATTCTGTTTGCTATTTGTGAATTGGCCCAGCTGTCCACTGTGCAGATATCTTTAGAAAACACCCGCTTTGACTTGAGAACCCTGTGCTATCTCTGTGTCATTTACCCCGTACTTATTCATCTATTGTATCATCCATTTGGAAAGGTCACCATCGGCGTCATTTGTTCCACTTTGTGTCTTGCCCGCCTGAGGCTATCCCCGAACCTGGCCGTGCCCAAATCCATTGGAAATAAACATTGCCACCAAACCGTTGTCCCAATCGACTCATGAAATGACGACATCCTACCTTTATGCTCAACTCTGAAACCTCCACGACAGATCTAGTGAATCCCACTCACTTGGGTCTAAAGAACCAGCACTTGGGTCTGCGCTACGTGGACTCGTGCGTCGTCCACCTCTCTGGGTCTACGTGGATCCGTTGGATCTGAGAACACTCGACCCACGTCTTTGGGATTGGAATTGGAGGGGTGCGGAAGAACAGGGCCCATTTCACAGAAATTCACATCCCTATAGTTTTGTCCTCCTCAAGTGATCCACACCCAAGAATGATCCCAAGATATTCCATGATATTCCATCCTGACACGCAGCCACTATACAGTTCTGGTTCAAATTCCTGGTCCAGGATGGCCATCACTAGCCGAGGAACTTATCCAGGCATGTGCCAGCGGCCACTGTGGCCACTTCGAAACGCCAGCGCCCTGAGAGGTCTTAGGCTCTACGGCAATCATGGTGGGGTATTAATCCAGTGGTATGAATTGAGATGATGATGCAGATTCTGAAGGTCGTTGCGTGCTGGACAATCAGCTCCCAGGGGCCAGTGCGATCAAAATGCCCTTCCATTGGGGACTTGGCCCACACCTCACAGTACGCTTAAAATTCAGAGATTTATCTCAACTCTCAAGACATTCTTCTTTGAGACTAGGAGCACCACGTGACAAACCCTGTTATATAATGGGATGACCCTAATAGCAGAAGGCAGGGACATATCCAATACCTTTGAAATGGAATTCTTTGTTCGATTCCTTTGGGGAGTCACTTGTAAATCCTATTTTCACAGCCACAAAGGCGTAAGAAATCTCGCATGACACCGTGGTGCATGGAGCGCGCCGCATCGAAGCCACCAAGGGCGAAGGCAGCTGATGGCGGGCACAACCATTATGGCGGTGTGCGCTTTGTCAACAAAGAAAGCGCAAAGATAGGTCACCCCCATGGGCAAACTGGTTTCTCAAACATTGGAAAGGAACATCTTAGAAGCAGAAGCGGAAGCTAACCAACCGCGGTAACAAAAACAAAAAAAGGCGAACACCTTATCGAAAAACACTATATATGCGAGTGGATCTTAATCAGCGAAGTTTGAAGCTATCACTGACGATCCATAAGCGGCGTAGCGTCGGAACGGAAACCGCACCTTTTCTAGTCGCTTGATCCTTGAGCCAAAGTACATATGGTACATATATATGTACAAGTTGCACTGTACGTGTCGCTGCACTTCCATTCGCACCCCCCATGTGAACGGCAACAATATGTTCCGATCACACACGAAAATTTAGGGATGTAAGTGCTACAAAAGAAATTGTATGATTTGCCGCGAGACTCATATGAGGCTCATACTACGAAACATGCTGGACTAAAGCGGACTTTTACATATAAAGTGTGCAACTATGGCTCAGAACCTATGAGAAATCGAATTGAACAAGTGAGACAGTCACGAGGCCTCGCTCAGTATCCACTCAAAAGAGCATCGCTTTGATGTAGATCCGAACTGGTGACTTCCACGTAGATGTCACATCGGCAACTGACTTCACACTTCTCAAAAGATGTAGGTTTTGGTTTGGATACACTTACAGAACGGCAAGTCGGAGAGACAGTCGGTGACTGTCTGCCTTCCATTATGCTCATGGTATCAAATCGGATTGATGATTTGCAATGATACACTTACAGCGTTTCAGGTCAGATAGACATCCGGTGAATGACTTCCTCCCTGGTTTGCATGGTATCCTCATAGTCGTTCAAAGAAATCACCACTGGCGATAACCTCTCCATCCACGATGATCCCAGCTGCCCTGAGCATCCCGCCGATCATCTTCTCCCTTCTTGGACTTTCCCTTGGACTTGCTCTTTCCCTTCCCCTTTTCAGAAGGTTGAGGTACTTCGCGACGTTCTTGCGTTAGCGCCGGCCTCCAAGATGTTCCAGATTGGCCTCCTCCTTTGGAATGTCCTCGGGATGATGAAGAAGTTGTACCTTCTGCTGCATGTGCGTTGGCGGCAAGATCTTCCTGCAAAGCTTGCTCAAACACATCGGTAGCACTGGATGGTGATTTATCATGTGGTCTGGCTTTTGGAGCAGCCTTCGCCTTGCTCTCCTCTGCTGATGAGGGCCCGAAACTCTTAGGTGCTGTTGAAGGTTTTGGCTCCTCACTTGGTGCTGACGACGGCTTGGCCTCGGTTCTGGGTGTAGATGCTGGCTTTGCCTCAGCTCTTGACGAAGATGCTGCTTTCGCTTCAGACTTAGTCGTTGATGTTGACTTAGCTGTTGCCTTGGCTGCCTGCTTCTTCTTGCCCTGAATCTCCTTGGCCCTATCTCCAAAGCCTAGACGATCGGTAAGAGCTTGAACATGCTTCTGTTCTACCACGCTCATCCATCTCTCTGTATGTCCAATGTTGGGATTTCTGGCCATTGACTCTACGACATTCTGAGCGTGTGGGGGCAACCTGATCTCATGTTGATCAATGATCAGCAGAATAGACTTCTCCCATTTGCTCTTCATTCTCGAGTACATGATGTCCAGAGGATCGATCACCTTGTGGTTGGGTGATGTAACGTCGGTTCTAAAGTAAGAATATGTCCGACAACCATAAATCGCATGGATGCACTTCTGTACCAATTCAGTCATTGCGCTGGCTTTCTTCGCTTTCAACTCCTCAAGCTGGACGTCAGTCAAGTTGGTGGAGTATTCGAAGTTGCCATATTCCTTCTTGAAGGAGTACGGAGTATGACCAAATGATAGGATCACGAGTGCCACCTTGCAAATGAATTGCTCTCCTCTGAATCGGTGCCAGGCCTCCTCAATCGTAATCTTGTTTTCGTTGGCAAAGATTCTCATCATGTCATCTGTTGGATCCAATGGTCTCCCATCGTCATCGATTTCAGTGAAATCCTCTGTACCGAACTTGCTTATCACATCCAGTCGCTTCCTTTTCCAATTTGCTTTGAAGTCGGTAAGGCTGGTGCAATAGTAGCTCTTGTACATCAGGGAGATCATGTTCAGCACACATTTGACCACATACCTATCCATCAAACCCGATGCATTCATGGAGACGTCCTGACAGTAGGCTCTCTCTTGATGCGCATAGATTCGAGGTTCCGGTACTCGACAATAGATGGGGAGATCTTCGTTGTCTCTTCCTTCTTCGGGATTGAACTCGGTCGCTCCATGCTGTGCATAGTATCCCGGTTCATCACGATCTGTCGGTCGATTCGCCTCCGGATGTAAGTCGTCGGTGACGTCTTCATCCTCGGGTTCACCATCTTGACATTTCTTCCCCTCATATTGTTGTGTGCTCCTCTGGATCTCGATGATCACGTTTCGTTCGTCTTCATCTTCTAGATCAGAATCACGATCGTAGTCGATCTCGTCCTCATTGAAAGATGGGGTCTCGACATTGTCACTCTTGAAGTTTTCTGCACCATCAGACGGTTTGGAAGGATCTAGATTGTCCATGTCCTCGTCGTCGTCAGCTGCTTCAGTTTGAGCGATGTCTTCTTCCCAAGCCTTTCTGATCTCGTCCATAGTGGCCTGGTCCAAGATATCTTGATCATCATCTTCAGGCTCCTTCTCTTCCTTCTTTTCCTCTTCATCGTCGCTCACAAGATCAACGGGTGAATCGGAAATGACAGTGTTGCGAATACCACACGAGAGTAGCCTGCCTTGACAAGATAGACACACGGACAAAGATGAAGAAGTCAAATGCATACATGATGGACACAAAATATTGCCATCCACGTTGCGATACCCTTCACATGTTCTGGAGATGATTTCGTCCCAAGTTTCCTCACTGATGGAATCCTCGATCAGCTCTCCATTGTCATCGAATTGTACTTCATCGATAAGGGACACGAGCTTTTGGACGTTGTCATCTGTCGCCGAGGCTGACTTCGTGACTTCGTCGGCTCTCTCGAGGATGGTATGCTTCTGAGCAACCCAAAGTCCATGACGTGCCGCTAGAACAACTTGCTCTCCAGTGCTTCCCAGCAGGAGTCTCCTCCATGCCTGAACGTAGTCGTCCCAATACCAAGCACCTCGTACACATCTCCATGGAACTTCTCTAAAAACAACAGTGTAGGAATTCTCCGAAATTCTTCCCCCAAGCTTCCTCAAAGTCATGATTGGAACATAAAGGCAAACGGGCATTCCCACTCTTGGCCATCTTGATCTCAGAATCTTTGATGATCGATCATCCCACGGCGCAAAGTGGTTGAAGAAAACACTACCTCTATATCCCTCCGTTCCACCAGGGACAATTCCTAGTTTCATGATTGACTCAATATTGGAAAGCGATGTCATGTGAAAGCTTCCTCCAAGCTGCATTGCCACATTCTCTGGAATGAGATGTGAAGTCCACACAGGATATATTGACACATCCTCTTCAAGAACAGTCTCTCTTCCAGAATTGTGAGAGGCAACAGCTCGAATTGCACAAGGAACGATCCAACGTTCATGCTTCAGAAATGACGGTGCATCTGTGCTGTAATACATGAGGTTTGCCCAGTATTGCCTTTCCTCTTCGAGTGAGACATCCTCCCTTGAGATACGAATGGCGGCAATCTGATAGCGTACTCTGTTCTGCAACTTCTTTGCATGCCACATCGCCTTGCATAAATACTGGTATCGCTCTGTCTTGACATCTTGACGATGCCGATCATTTGAGATAGTACTGATATCGACACCATCGTTGAAGACATGGTCATATTCCAGGATCTCATCGATGTTCACCCATCCACCCTCATTGCACTTCGGGGACACATGAGGTTTTCGACCGCGGTGCGATTGAATCCCATTATGCTTTCCCACTCCATGCCTGAGTAGTCTATTGAGTCTATGGCTAACCTCGTTGACCCGCTGACTCTCCTCGCTGAACTTGTCGATGCGAGTTGCTGGGTTCATCTTTGGTGGATCCGTGAAAGTTGCATCTCTCTTCGGTCCATTCCAGTACTCCACATAGAATGTAACTCCATACTGTGGAATTATCTCGATGCTTCCTCTATCGCAAGTCACCTCAATCTGCCGATATCCAACCTTTTGAACTTGTTGTGGGTCAGGAGCAAGGTCCTTCACTTTGGGCATCTTTATTCCGAGTGCTGCAGCCTCCTGAATAAGTGCATCAAGTTCCCACTTTCCATTAGGACCTGATCTATCAACCCTGTGATTTGCGACCCTGTACTCTCCTCCTTCTTTGTCATCGGCAATGTCAAAGAGGTCGACGGGCTCTTTGAATCTGGTGACGAAACTGGCGTTCCCAAAGGCCTTCTTGGTTGCCTCGACCGCTTTCGCGTATTCCTCTTTTGCAGAGTCTGACGAGTGTGGTCTACCTTTGGCTCTCGGAGAGTGAGGTGGTACCTTACCTCCTAGTTCCGGTTCTTCTTCGGGAAGTTCAATATCTTCATCATCCACATCCATGTAGTCCTCGTCTTCGACGT